TTATTATATATTTCAAACGATGATGACTATAATTTAATGGACCCTTATAACCTAAAAAATCCAATAGATGCAAGTGATCTTTTTGAAAGGAATGAAATTCAAATTCAAGAACCATACATAATTCGATCGGATGAAATCTCGGATAAAATAATTTATACGATTGACGGAAGAGTTTTAATTAAAGAATTTGTGCCTGATTATGATAATTGGATCAATTACTTACGAAAAGAATTGAAGGACACAAATTGCATTACATCTCCATCTAAAAACACAATCGACATTATAAATAAATTAATTGATGTGCATTATACTGACAAAAAAGAATTTCAAGGGGAATTTTTAAAATGGGGATTAGAAATAGACGATAAATCAGTCGGTCTTAAAATAATGAATAAAAAAAAGCATCTAGATATTCTTCCGTCATTTTATCCTAGTGGAAAAAATTTTATACTATCCTGTGAAGTTCTTGAAAATGACGATTTCATTACGATTACACGTATTGGTGTGATTATCTGGACTTATAAATATTCCGAAATTAAGATGCATTATTATTGGAATTATTGGAATGATCGTTTAGAAAGGTTCGAATTTGAAATGATAAAGTTTAAAAGTATCCTTAAAGACTGGACTCCAGGAAGAATTCTTCCTGCTTCTAATTATGAAACGATCTATAGAAATTTAGATATTAAATTTGGTAAAGAAGTAGGTAAAGAAATAAAGCTTTTCGAAGAGTTTTTGAAAGATAATATAAGAGAAAGATTTTATTTAACTTGCTACGGAAAAATCCTCATGAAAACATTTATTGAATTAAAGGAGGATAAATGGATTCAATCTTTAGGCGAAAGCTGTATTAAAAGTGTGTTCAAATCGATTTCTAAAATTTCTTTGTTGAATATTATTTTTGAAAACTTTAAAGAATTATCAGAAAATCATCCTGCAGTTATAGCAAGCTTTTTATCTTCGATAGGATTTGTAGTTGCTTCTAAGATTGTAATTCAAAACTCTACCTCTTCACATCTTTCCAGTTGTGGAAGTTACTATTATTTATCTAAAACATCATTTCTTGATATGCTTTGGAATATTTGGGTCAGATTTCAAAAGAGTTTCCCTTTTTTTCAAAATTTAGTTTTAAAACCAATTTTCAATTTTGATTATGTAGGTAATAGTTCAACAATACTTGCAATTCCTATACCAGGCTTCGTTTATTATTCAAAAGATTATAATTATTGGAAAGAATTAGTACTACCTGCTTCTAGTCATTTTACATATTTAAATAAGCTTAAATTAATAAATGAAGAATTTTATAGATATTTAAATGCAGAGGCACTACTTAGATTTAAATGGAATGCTTATGGAAGGAAATATTATTTTGCAATTTGGGCAATTTATACTGCCTTTCTTTTTAGTTTCACATTTGCAGCAACATATTACAAAACTATTTCTCAGACTAGTTTATTTATTCTTTTAAATATGACCATTTACCTTGGAATTTGGCATTTATTTTTTGAATTACGGCAATTTATTCTTTCACCATTAACTTATGTATCAAGTGTATGGAATTTTTTTGGTAATATAAATTTAATGTATAGTGTTAAATTTTATCAAATTATAACTAATATATATATGTCATTAACAAAGATTTAGGTGCTTTTTTACTGCCAACAATATCTTCAATTAAATGGCTTCAAAGTAATGTCATGCCAACAGGAATGGCTACATTTTCTACATTATTATTGGAAGTCAAATTTCTTTTATTCTTTCGCGCGATTGAATTTTCTAGTGTTTACTTCTCTATGATACTTGAAGTAGCTCGAGGAGGATTTTCATTTTTGATAATATTAGGATTCATTATATTAGCTTTTGCACATTCATTCTACCTTTTATTACGCTATTCCACTGATCAGAACGATCCATTGAATACTTATAACACTATGGATCCTAATGATGCAATTGAAGACAACTCTGAATCTCATACCGAGGCTAAAAATATGTTTATTATGATGAGCTCAGCAATTTCAGCAGTTTATCTTATGCTAACAGGTAAACTTCAATTATTCTTTTTTCTGAAATTTGTTAGTATCATCAGTTATGATAATAGCGAACTTCTTTGCAATTTATGTATATTGATGCTGATTTTTAAAATGAGTACATTTTAATAGGAGACACATCACCAATTTCAAGCTGGAATTTATCTGATAACCCTACTTTACTTAGTTTAACAATCATATTTTCTTTTGTGGCAACTATTTACTTAATGAATTTGTTTATCGGAGTGCTAAATATTTTACTAACTGATTCTAAAAAAGGGTTATATTTAATTCTAAGAGCTGAGGTATGACGTTTATAAACTAAATATATACATATATACATTTTTAAAGATTTTATTGATTATAATAGATATTAGAAGAAATAGAGCTATTATATATGTTACCTCATCAACGAAGAAAGGAAAATTGGTTTCCGTTTGTTGTGTAAGTTATTTAATTACATGCAAAATCAAAATTTTATGCTATTACTTATTTATTATTATCTATTATTATCTTAAAAGTTTTTATGAATGCCACACAATTAAACTTCGTGAGCATGTAATTGATATTGTCCAAAATAACAATTGGTCGGGTTATAAAAAGCCTCTCATTTCAAACAATCTTAAAGATATTCTTGCACTCCCTGAAGAAGAGCCCTCTAACACAGAAATTGAAGCAGATATTAAAAAGCTGAAAGAATCAATTAAACAGCTAAAAGAATCAACTATAGGGTCTTCTATTAAAGGAAATGAAAATATTCTTAAAGAGCTGAAAGTATCGATTAATGAGCTAAAACAATCATTTAATGAACTAAAAGGATAAGTTGAAGAGCCCTCTCTTAGATGAATTGAGAAGGTTATTAAAGATCTGAAAAAACAAATGGCATATAAATACACGATATTTCTGATTGAAATTAATAGCCGAAAACTTTAGTTATAGCAATTTCAGCATTTTAAAATTTATATTAATATTTGAGGTGGAGTAGTTATTTTTGAATATTAGTCAAAATAAAGAATAAATTTAAAATAGTATAATAGTATATATAGTACTTTGCGTTTAATTCACTTGGAGAGTTCACTTATTTCGCATAAACTGAAGTATTATGCAGCTACTCCACAAAACTCACTCAACAAACAACGAACAATGTTTCACTAAGAATGGATCGATGCCTTATATATTAATTGCTACTTTACATACTACTTTTTTGACTTAACTTTTAATTAATTCTCAATCCTGAAATCGATACTATCTCGTTCAAAATTAATTAATAAATTTAAAAAATAATATACATTATTTCGATACGTTATTCGGGAAACAGCATTAATTTATATACGTATGTTGCTTCTTATGCATATATGCTGCATAAAGCAAAAAAAAACAAATTACTATTATACGTTAATCAAGCAAAACGCAAACACATCACCTTGTACACATTGAATTATTCCTTTGACAAGAGCACACTTTAAAGCTATCTTAATGCTTCCTTGATAATACAAACTTTGTACTGTACTCACAAATTTATAAAGCCCTACTGCACTTTTCAAATTGTTGTGACCATCAGATGATTGCCCATCACACGGGAATCTACAAATTTTCTTATTTTTTTCCAAAGATCCCTCATTGAAAGCTAATTTCTTAATATAAAATCCATTATCATATTAGATCTTTTTTTTGGTTGACCAAACAATACGAAATTTTTTAACTTATTCTCATAAATTATGAACGAACGATCTTGCTAATACCTTGCTTATTTTTAATGTTCAGGGCTATTTTAAACTCTACAAATAATAGAATTCAAAATGATCTTTAACATTTAAATTAAAAGAGATGTTATCATAATATCTTTGCACAAAGTTCAAGAACACATAATATTAAACTTTAATAGGGTAAATTTTGGTTACTAATTAGCTAATATAATTTTTTATAGCCAATACTAGACTTGCCTTTAAAACACCCTGTCCTAGCGTTGCTATGTAGTGTGATGACGGATTTTAGATAGGATTAGATAGAATTAATAAACGAATAATAAAGTAACTACAAACTGCAAAGC